GGAGGGGAGTTAATGGGGGGGGGGGAATGAGGACACATTTATAATTCCTTAACTAATAAAGAATTTAAAGATTTAAAAAAAAAAAGATGTGGCCTAAGTCAGGATAGTTGTAAAAAAAAAAAAAAATGTGAGTATGTAAGTAGGTAAATACCTGGTGTTGAGAGAATCAAGTGAGAATAGCCAGGGGGCGATTGAGATCATGCATATTAACAGCTTTAATCCTTTTTGGCCTCAGGAATGCACTGAAAATCCCCTTACCCTGGTTCACCCCTCCCCCGTGGGGGACGAGCCAATAGACGTTGGTGGGCGTGGTTAATAAGTGGAGCTAATGGAGTATATATACCAGGGTCAGGTTAGGGCTCATGCAGTCCTGTGCCACGCTGTGCAGAGAGATCCCTGTGGGAGATTCAGCTTTCCCTTTTGGCGTTCAAGAACGGAGAAGAGCCGTCTGCTGCTGGAACCAATTGGTACTGAAGAGTCATCGTTGCTCTCTGATCAAGAGAATTGCTGAACTTGGATTGATATCCTCTGAGCTGCCAAGGACAGTAGTCCTCCAGCTACTTTGATTGTCTGCAGGAGGGCAGTGGAGCTCCTCTGGGCACCTACCTCTGTAGCTAAGGACACCAGGGGCTGACCTTAATTGACAAAGAGAAATGGCAGGTGAAGGAGCTGTGGCAAATCTCCAGATAGAAATCAACTGTCCCATCTGCCTGGATAACCTGAGAGACCCTGTCGCCATCGAATGTGGGCACAACTTCTGTCGTTCCTGCATGGAGCAGTCCTGGGCTGATGTGCAGGACAGGTTCCCTTGCCCTGTGTGCCATCACCCATGCAAAGAGAGGCACCTGTGGAGCAACACCCAGCTGGGAAGGGTGGTTGACATGGCCAAGCTCCTCCAGATCACAGGGGCCAAGATGAAGCAGCAGGAAGAGAGGCGCTTGTGTGAGAAGCACAACCAGGCCCTGACCTTCTTCTGTGAGGAGGACCTAAAGTTGTTGTGTCCCCTGTGCACTCAGCCCCCTGACCACCAGGGTGACCACGTGAGGCCCATGGAGGAGGCTGCCTCTCATCACAGGCAAAAGCTCAGAAGTTACATTGAGCCCCTGAGGAAGCAGCTGGCAGACCTTCAGAAACTATTAGCCACTCAAGACAGGCAACGATCAGAACTGAGAGAAAAGGTGGAAAAGCGGAGAGCGAAGTTAGCCTCTGAATATGAGAGTGTGATAGCATCCATAGAGATTGAGCAAGCGGCAGTTCACTCAAGGCTAGCTGCACAAGAGAAGCACGTTCTATGGAATCTCACTGCAAACAAAGCTGCATTTTCAGACCACATTTCCAAACTTAGAGTTCTACGAAAGGAGATGG